TTTCACTCTCTATAGATATATTTTTCATGTCTGTAATAAGGCAAGCATACACAGAGTTTCGAAGTGATGCGCTCAAGTTCACAGAGTCCGAGACGGCAGAAAGCGCATCATGTTTGCTTTCATTATTTAACAAAAGCGCAACGTTTCATTGTTATTCTGAGTGCACACGAATAAACGTAGAGTCTTTACAGATACAAAATATGCATTACTCTTATCTGTATGACCAAAAATGACGAAGTATTTTAAGAGCCAATGATCGCACCGGCACCTCCATCTGTCCGCACAAACACGTGAACAGCGCACTGTTTTTCTAGGCTAACATTAGATTGAGCTGCCATGTAAAGTTGCTACTACATACATATTTCAGATGATAAGCCATATTTGAAGTCGATGAATGTTAGGAGAGCATATGGATGTCCTGCCCGATGTAGGCCTACTATATTACCACATAGACCAGCCGTTAACGATTTGCCCGTCACGGACTGCGTGATTTTGCCACTTCATGTGGATTTTTTTTTCTGCGACTAATACAATTTTGGTCGACCAAGCCTCTTCTCGTCGACTAATGGTTAGTCGACTATTAGGGGGCAGCCCTACTATAAATTAATGTAAGAAGTAATTTCCTATAGCAGTATGTGTCTGTTTCAGAGAGAACTGAGTAGGAGGAAGATTCTCTCTACATACTTTTAGGTCGTAAAAGTTTATCTGATCTGGCTGAGGGGTCCTGGTTGCCATGGTAACCAGGGGCCTGCTGTCCTTCACAGACATCCTGGCACCCAGTATGTTTATTGGGTGAGGGGTCTGTGACTATATGTTAAATCTAATGAATAATTGATTTGTTAAATCTCATGAAAAATGGTGTGTCTGATTGGTCCAAATGCTACACTAGTTTAAAGTTAAAATGCCTTAATGATGGAATTGTTTATTACAAAGACGCAGGTAATGAGCCTTTAATTGCCTACATAGCCTAGTAAGCGCTCAAGCGCACGCAAAAAAGGCTTGCCACAGCGCACCGGCAAATATAATAATTATGAATGTGTTAGGGAAAAACAGTACACTGTACACTGCATTAACGTTTTAATAATTTATTGTTACACTAGTGCTTTCTGTTTTCGGTTTAAGAGATGAAGTCGGCAACACTGACTCGTCATCTCCGCAGTATGCGCCTGTATGCATGTTTCATACGGATTACATAATCTGAGAATATTTGTTTTCTATTTGAATTTTTTTCATTTAAAAGTTTCACTCTATAGATATATTTTTCATGTCTGTAATAAGGCAAGCATACACAGAGTTTCGAAGTGATGCGCTCAAGTTCACAGAGTCCGAGACGGCAGAAAGCGCATCCTGTTTGCTTTCATTATTTTACAAAAGTGCAACATTTCGTTGTTATTCTGAGTGCACACGAATAAATGTAGAGTCTTTACAGATACAAAAGATGCATTACTCTTATCTGTATGACCAAAAATGACGAAGTATTTTAAGAGCAAATGATCGCAGCGGCGCCTCCATCTGTCATGCAGTAGCCCAATTGCGCTACTGTTCAGCTTCCACACTCCGCACAAACACGTGAACTGCTCTCTAGGCTATAGGCTAACATTAGATTGAGCTGCCATGTGAAGTTGCTACTACATACATATTTCAGATGATATTTGAGGTTTTGAGGTCGATGAATGTTAGGAGAGCATATGGATGTCCTGCCCGATGTACTATTTTACCACATAGACCAGCCGTTAAAGATTTTTCCGTCACGGACTGCGTGATTTCGCCACTTCATGTAGAATTTTTTTTTCTGCGACTAATAAAATTTTGGTAATATGCAAACAGCCTTTTAATTAGCAGAGTAGAATAATCATGGCTGATAGTAAGACATGCAAGCATAAAAGAAAACCAAACTGGACGTGAGCACAGCTATATATTAAGGATATAATCAAAAATTTGGAGTTGGGATAACCTCCAAACCAAAGCCGATACATTTTTAAATGCTCATTATCGTCAAATGTTTCCGAGGTAGATTGCTGGCAACAGCCATTTTAGGATAGTTCAGACTTGGGCTGTGTCCGAAATCGCCCCCTATACCCTTAAATAGGGCACTATACTGAATTAGTGACCTAATGTAGGGAATAGTGAATGAGGGTATAGGGGGCGATTTCGGACACAGCCTTGGTCTTAGTGATTTAGGAGTCCTCTTCGCTACTCCTAACCTTTCACAGATCTAGGAGCTAATTTTATCGCTAAAACGCTTTGTGAAATACTCTTAGAACAAAAATGTTGGAGTCTTAAATTTAGGACTGACACGCCCGTTATTTTTAAGATTTTCTCCTAAATCTGCGAGTTATGAGCTACTTAACCTTAATATGTTTTGTGAATACGGGCCCTGTTCTTTTGTTTTTTTTCGGGGATATCCCCAGTGATTGGCTAAAAAATCGGGAAGGGTCTAAAGGTCTGAGGACAGCAGCACCAGGCCAACAGTCTGAGGCCGGTAGTGGGCTGAGCTATTTTATCCTAATACGCATTGCTCCATTGGGAGCCTTTCAAAGACTAAAACCATGATACATTGCCAAGTATTTTAAATAAAACGATCTATTTGAAATTAGTACTGGTGATTATCAAAATTATGTTTTGTGTTTTTGTAATACTTAATCCACCAGTAGGCTGTGTGTAAACTCTTCAGTCACAGTAGTAACTCTAATGCTAAAATATAATTATTATTATCTATGAATTTTCGAATTTACTGTTTTACAAGTCAGAACAAATAAAGCATATTATTATTTTTATTTAGATGCCCAATTACAGTTATTTACTTGCAGTCGTTACATAAAATAATATTTTAATGGTTGAATGTTACAATTGATAAATTTCTGACTTCAGAGGTTAAATGTGCTGGCTCAATAAAAATGCTAATTTAATTTGACATTCCTCACTCCAGTTTGTTATTTGCCTAATAAATGAGTTAAATTTATTTATATATTTATATAAAAAATATTTATTTTTTTGTCAGATTCTTAAAATATTTGTTCATGTGTTTTCTCTTTATTTATTAACTCATGACAGGTGGTCTAATAAATTTAAGCACTGTGCACATAAATACATACACATATATACACACACACACACACACACACACACACACCCCTTGTATCCCTTTAAGTGTTTTTAAAGTTAAAAGTTTATCATCTGGTTTTATTTCTTAACTTAATACTGAACACAAAGAATAAAACACTAAAAATGAAAACAAAGCTTAAACATTTTAACACTTTATTTTAAATAAAATTTATGTTTTTACTCAACCATTTCAGAATGAACAATTTTTTCAAACATTACACAATTCTACACAGGATTGAAGCAAGCAAATTCAGATCCATCAAACCCACAAATCAAAACACAAAATATATTAAATTTTAATAAAATTTACTTTTCCATTTAAGTAGCGAAGGCATAATATACAAAAAAAAAAATATTCCTTGAGAAAAAAAAGTCTATCATCCTTAATTTGGAAGCGAAAGGCTAAAGGCTCTTTGGCCAGTTGTCGGTCATCATCTGTTTCAGACTGTGAAAGCTGAAGAAGGCCTTTTTCCTGGTCTTCCTCTTTCAATTTTAGAAAGCACGGCTCTTCCACTAAACCTCTGAAGACTTTTGGTTGTTGCAAAGTCATCCGACTGTATAAATAAATAAATGTATTTATTTATAAATAAATATGTACAGTGTAAACATCACTTTTAACCCCAAGTAAAGAACATTTCACACTTGTAATGGGGGTTAGCACCACTTTTACTTGGTGTAATGAAAGCCTACTCCAGAAAAGGGTTTCTACGGCTTTAGCATTGTTAACCCTTTATCAATAGACAGACAACCAATTGCCTGCCTCATATTCAAGTGCTTTGGACAGTCACTGCAAAAATAAGCACTGTATAAAAACAGTAAATTAAATTCAGCATTTGACAGGATGTTAAAAATGTCAAATGCTTACAGAAAACACAACAGTCAGGGTCAAGAAGAGACTGTATATTTCTTACTTTTATAATCTAAAAGAGTACCTTCAGGATAAACTTGATATTAAAGTCAGCTGTATGTAATATGAGGATGTGCAGTGCTTGGGCATTTTTGTATCATATCGCATGCAGTGTCTGTCCAATCAGTGACACTGATGCAGAAAATGTGCATATAAGAATGTTTACTTGGGGTTTAGTAATGTATAGTGTAAAACAGCAGCGTATGAAAACCCAGGATTATTTGTCAATCCCAGGTAAATTATATTCTGTGTGAAACATGAAGCAAGATAAACCAGCATTCAGTTTACCTGGGGTTTACATTCACCCAGTGTTTACTATTTCATGTGTGAAAAGCCCTCATGTTTTTCATTATAATGAAAAGAGAAGTTGATATATTTTAAGATTTTTTTTTTTTACTTTCCCTTTTTCAATCAGCTTCCATTGGAAATTGGTATGATTCTGCTTGTCAATTTACTGCAACAAAATCAAACAGATTTTTTTTTAATGATTTATAACCATAAAAAAATTGCATAAGATGGCTAAGTTTCATTGTTCGAAAGCAAAAATTACCACTGACAATGCAAAAACAACTTTTTAAATTCATAATATTAACGAAACATTCAGAATATTACGCAAATGAACAGCAAACCTTGAACTGCAAACATAATATCCATATATTTGTTAATACATATCGCTGTTAGGTTGTGTGTTTTACCAAATTGGGCAGGCAAACTACAATTTACAAAAAGACTACTATTAAATACCATTTATTGCCACTGTATATTATCAAATAGCTCACAAAGTTCATACCTCTATGGACATCTGCCTTTCTGAAGTGAATTGGAAGGTGTGCATTCAACCTGTGCCATCTGGTCCTTTTAAAAACACTGGGCAGTGAAATTTGTTGCAACAACTTTTTCCAAGTAAAGCTGAGCGTCTCTGAATCGTAATATGCCTGTTTAAATAAAAACATCTGCATAAAACATTGGTCAGCATCAGAAAACGTAACCACTGAAATAAAATACAGTGCCAAGTTAACAATCCATAAAGTGAGACGATGAAGTTCTAAAAACTGACGCGATAACGCACTTCATCACACAGCACATTTACAAAAAATAGACTGGAGACATGTTCTTTATAAATTGCTTATCAAACAACAAACGATTAAAGGCATAAAATAAATAAATTTGATCGATTAAATACCTTTTCACCGTGTTCTTATCCGCCATTATTGTTTCTGTCGTAAACTCCGCCTACTTCCGACATGAGACTGTTACTCCGCCCACTTCCGACGTCAGACTGATCTGGCGCTGTGGCCTCAGACTGTTGTGACGTAATGGTTCTGCAGTTGGTTACTAGGCTTGTTTGAGACGCGCTTCGCCTTGCCTGAAATGTAGGTGAGAGTAGGCGGCTGCAGTGAGAGGAGGAGTGAAACAGTCAAGACGGACAGTTCTGAGCTCTCGAAGTGGAGCAGATACCAACGAGATCAAAGGCGGATATCGCGTTATTCACACTTACATGCTGTGTTGCTAATAAACATATGATTAACAAGACACTCAAAGTGCTTGCTATTTAATTCCATACGAAAGGTGTATTTATCATCCATTTTTACTTTAATACAAACATGTAATTTATATTTTTATAGAAATATGACATAATCACATTATCTCACACAGAGATCGCACTGTCATGAAATCAGATAAAAAAATTAAATATTTTAGAAGAGAACCGTAGCATCACAGGTGTTTTTTTTTTCTTCTTTCTTCCTTTATTAGGATTAGCAACAAGTACACAAAAATATACAACCCTAGTAACAACAAAATCACAAAACAAAATGAAATTAAAAAAAAAACAACAACAAAAAACATACAGGGCCAGGGGTAATATAAATTACATTATATAAAGTAAAGGTGCCTCAAAAGGCACTTCTTAACAACCAGGCAAGAGGTCACAGAGTATTCAGTCAACTGTACATTATAGGAAAGAACCAATATTATAAGATGCACACAATGTTATCGATTTTAAGGCTTTAACATTGCTGGAGGTAGATATTTGCATCACAGGTGTCTGAACCAATGATTTTTGCACACGTCAGCATGACATCAGAGCAAGTCGGAGGTAAATCGGACACTTTTCTAACCGGCATGCATCTCGCGGTTAATAGGCTTGTTCGAGATGAGCTAATTCTGCGCAGAACCGATCACCGGTGATCACCGCGAGATGCATGCCGGTTAGAAAAGTGTCCCGAGTTACGTCCGACTTGCTCTGATGTCATGCTGTTGTGTGCCAAAAAACTCGCGACGGCGAGGCGGCTGTGTCGGATTGTGCAGTCGAGCGCAGTTGCTCTCCACCGACTGCGCTGATCAAAAGCATGATGGGAAACGACTGACTGACGACACAGCTTAATGCTCATTGGTTCAGACCACAGACTGTAAAAAAAGATGGACGACGCACCTTCAATCTCTTCCACTGAAGAAATGTGAAGCCACCATTGTCCCAACAGGGCGCGGCCATATTGTGCTGATTTGGGACCGGAGTCTGCGCAGTAGAGAACTCGGGACCAGAGTCTGCGCAGTAGCGAGCGAAGTGGAGCCGCGTCCCGCCCACATTCCCGCAGAGTCGATCGCAAGCATATGCCCCTGACCCTGTTTTAATTGCAAGCACACGCCCCTGACCCCGTTTTAATTAGCGTGACTGCTCCAGTTTTTGTCTGCTGAGAGGATTGTGTTAAAATAAGGTACATACAACTCCAATATCCTCCTAAAGATCCTGAAAAAGTCCGTTGGCACCTCAGTTCACTCAGAGAAGCTGTCAGTCTCAGCTGTCAATGATGACGTCACAATCCAGTTTTTATAGCATCACTTAACTAAGTAAAACCAAAATTATTTAAAAAACGAACACTTGAACTTACCTCAGCATGATAAAATCTACATCAAATGACAAAAGCCATCTGGGAAAAAATTATGTGAAGTGAAATTTAATTATCTAGTTTGTCTCATGTCCCATTAGATTACATAGAGAGGGCGGGGTTTATGACCTATACTGGGACCAGCCACCTGGGGGCGATCGAAACGCGATGGCTTCACTTTTTAAGACTCGTGCGGCACGTGATGCTGCGTTCTCTTCTAAAATGTTATTTTGTTTTATCCGGTTTCATGTGATTATGTATTTAAATTATGCATGAATATTTCCAAACACTAGATCTAAGATACATGTTTGTATTAAAGTAGAAATGGATAATAAATACGCATTTCGTATGGAATTAAATAGCAAGCAATTTGAGTGTCTTGTTCATAATATTTATATTTATATAAAAAGCTACAGAACTGAAATTATATCATGTTTATTAGCAACACAGCACGTGAGTGTGAATAACGCGATAGTATCTGTGAATAATCTCGTTGGTATCTGTTCCACTTCGAGAGCTCAGAACTGTCCGTCTTGACTGTTTCACTCATCCCGTCACTGCAGCTGCCTACTCTCGCATACGTTTCAGGCGAGGCGAGGCGCATTTCAAACAAGCCTATTGAAAAAATCCAGCAAAATGCTTTTTGTTCCGGCGGAGGTGTTGACGCGGTGTTGTTGTCACACAGTACCCGGATGCATCTTATAAATGAACGAGCAGGCCTTTAAGCCTTCTTTTCAGGAAGGACCGGAGCGAGGTCGTGTTACGCGCTTCCTGACTCACCGCTGTTCGCGTTTCAATAATTTCCACGATTAAGTCGGTCAGGAACTAGTAACCATGGTAAATTGAGGTTTTACTAATATCGTATTAACACACAGAAGCGGTCTTTGTTGTCTTTTGAGTCTGTACTGAGGTGTTGAATAGCTCGTGTAAACAAGTGCCGCACCGTATTTCTGAATTGATGTCCCGGCGTTGCGCTGATGCATGGTTTGCAGGCTTTTAGAGTTTGAGCAGTTCGGAATCGGTGAATGCCATTTTGTGCCAAGAGAGTGCTTATGATCTTCTGTTGATAAGTTATGACAATGTTGTGTTTTATATTGTAGTGCATATGGTTTTAAGAGTACATATTTTATCGGACATCTTTTTGAATGAGCAGCTGGGAGTGGTAAAGCAAACAAGTGTTTGTGTACTCAACAGTAATAACAACATTGCCAGAGAAAAGGTTTATTTCTTTTTAAACCGTAGTGGAGCATAGAAGTTTCAAAGTAAAAGTCACATTTCTAGCTTGTTTATTATTAAATGTTTTACATGTGAATGAAGACTCCCTCCCTCCCTGACTGAGTTGCCTAGTTTGATCTAAGTTAAGTGAGTATGTCAGTCTTCTGGGTTATAACTCAAGAGTGATTTAGGAGAAAAGAGCAAGTATTTGTTGAGTATCAGAATTGCAGTGTTTGCACAGTTTAAAAAGTTTATTGACAGTACATGTATGTTTTGCAGGCATTCAAAGACACTGGTAAGGCTCCTGTTGAGTCCGAGGTGGCAATCCACCGAATCCGCATCACTCTGACCAGCCGCAATGTCAAATCTCTGGAAAAAGGTATGCTTGTACCCCAGTGCTCTAGCGGTACTAAATTGATGGCAATGAGGATAATAATATATGAATGACATAAACATGAGCTATATTATACGCTATTCTGAGCCTTCTTTCACAAAACTCTGATTTGTGATTCTGAATAGGTCAGGCATGTTGTCTGTCATTAAATATTTTTTTCTCTTTAGTGTGTGCTGATTTGATCCGAGGTGCCAAGGAGAAGAGTCTGAAGGTGAAGGGACCTGTGCGTATGCCCACCAAGGTGAGTACCAGTTTTGTCTTGATCTTCTCATATCTAAACTGTTCTAATCAAATGGACGTTTCAAAGGGCTTCAATTAAATACTCGTATCATTCACAGACAGACATTTGCCAAGAGAATGTCCCAGTTTTTAAGATGCTTGTTATTAGACTCTCATCCTAAATGTGGTTCCATTTTCTTATTCTCTCTCCCCGTCAAGACCCTGCGTATCACTACTCGCAAGACTCCATGTGGCGAAGGTTCCAAGACCTGGGACAGATTCCAGATGCGGATTCACAAGCGTCTCATTGATCTACACAGTCCATCTGAGATCGTCAAGCAGATCACCAGCATCAGCATTGAGCCTGGTGTTGAGGTGGAGGTCACCATTGCAGATGCGTAATTACTGTCTTCCCACTTAATCAGCTGTGTGTTTGCTATCAGCTCAATAAAATTGAGATTTTTGGATTTCTGTCTGCTTTTTTTTCAACAAACCCCAGACTGTTTAGCTCTCCCATAAAATTCATTTGTTGTCTACTCATGTTGCTAGAAGCCTGTATGCCAGGGGAAAGTGGACCTTGAGGGCCAGAGTTGAGAACCCCTGCTGTATGAATTTCTTTCTTCTGTGGAGCATAGTGACATTTAAAATGGACAGTCAGTTTGTTTCAACTTTTTGGAATCCAACGTTCTTAAATGTTGTCTTTTGTGTTCTGCAGAAGAAAGAAAGAAATACAGGTTTGCAACTTCATGAGTCAGAAGAATGAATACTCTGAAATGTGAGCGTGTTTGTATATAAGATGGGTGAAGATAAATTATTACATAAATTACATTTAATGTTTAGGCAACCCTATGGTCTTAATGATTAATTAAACTATTCTCTCTCTCTCTCTCTCTATATATCTATCTATCTATAAACATATTTTGGTCAGTACTAATTAAAAAATAAAACTGGCCAAGAATAAGATGTCATCCCAAAATGCACCTGTAATTTTTGATAGCAACAGTGAATATACAAACAAAAAAAATAATTTACAGGTGTGCTGAATGTCTTATTAGGACCTGATCATTAACTTTTGATTAGTGAGCAGGTGTGGCAAATGCATTTTGGGTAAGAACTTATCTTGCCTGATATCAAAGCTATTTTATGTTATTTTTAAAATAGTTTCAGTTGCTGCAAGTTAATCAGTTTGCGTTTGCTGTCTGTCTAAATCTGTGACCCATGCAAATGTTAAGCTGACGATTTTGTAAAATGTAACTGCAATTGTTTTAAGCACATAACTGTTTTATCACTCTATGATCATGGCAACAGTTGTTGACATGACTAATGAGGACACTGTTAATGGCTATGGAGTCAACTGCTTGTGAACCTCATCATGCAGCTCTACCAGAACTCTCTAGAGTTTCTTCCATAACATCACAGGTCTGGGCCATGCACAGACATTTTGAGGGGCAGTGGCCCAAACCAAAAAAGGGGCACTAGGGGGGTGGGTGCTTGTTAATACAAATGATCCAGTTGTTACAAATATACAATTAAAAGAGAAGACGGCACACTCTGTAATAATTTCAGACTTTATTGTAGATGTTTTGATAAGAGTGGGCTCTCCCTCTCTCTCTGAGCCTGCTTCTGCCTCATCTTCAATGGAAGTAGGGGAGAGTGGGGTAAGTTTACCCACCCACTGTATCTTGGCAACTACACTTTTTTACTGTCATGTGACCATGTGTTTTGGAACCACCCATCATTTCTGCCAGACTGTGAAAAGGAGAAACACATGGGGGGGAATGGAAGGCACCCATTTACTTTACAAACTGTTTTTGGCTTGTCAAAGTAAAATTTAACATAACAGAAGTAATGGTTGTTACATCAAAGCAAATTTATCCAGGTCTAAAAATATTTATGATACATATAGGTGATTTAGCAACATATAAAACCATGCAAATCATTTAGCTAAATATTAGCCTGAAGCAACAGTAGCTATTTTTTCCATATGGCAGCTATGGGGCAAAGTAAGCCAAATGTTGTGGGGTAAACTGAGTCAGCATTTTAACTTACCCCATCATAAGGCACTGTAGTTAAGTTAAATCTCTGAATTATAAACTGGTGTTTTAATGTGATATTACTGGTTTAGTTGATCATATATACATATTTTGTAGTTTATTTGATAGGGACAGTGTACATGTGCACCAGATCCTTCTCTGATAAGAACCAGAAAATGCTTTTCATCACATTATAATCAGATATATCTTTCCACCTGTAGTCACTAATGGCCAACAAACTCTGTTTAGTCTGTTTTTAGGAAGGCTACAACTTTGGTGTTCAACATATTGTTTCAGAAATGCAAACAATTAAATACTGAAATTTAAACTTAATTTGGTTGGTTTTATGTTGTTAAAGTTAACTTTATGAAAATAAATAGGGATGTGTTATAGATTACTAGTATCAAGACAAGTGATTATAATGGGAAATATACTTAATTACAAGAATTAATGTGATTTAATTAGTGTGAATTTTGTGTTATTTATGTTAGATCTGATCGGGTAGCTATAATAAATTGATCAGACATTCTAATTCTAAGAATGTGGACATTTTATTGTAATCACTTTACCGACAGAAATACAAAAACAAACTACCAAATTATTAATTCAGCGAACCTGTAATGTGGATTGTAATACCTGTTAATGAACGACCTTCGGGAACTGTGGTCTCCACTCCAGATAGCGGCACATCGATTGTGAGTGATGCTGCGGAGCGGCGGGAAAACACGGAGCGGATTAGCAGAATCAGCGGATCTTTAGCGGAGCGGTAACCGAAAGCTTTGAGCCGGGGTGGGGGTAGGGTTGCCAACCGTTCCGTATAATA